GGCCTAATCTTATATAAATATTAAAGGGCTTAATCCAGCAATAAAGTTCCAAAGGCTTAATGTCACAACTTCCAATAAATTTGGAGGCTAAACATGAGTCCAACTTCACTGCATCTAGATCCATATATAACACCCTATTCATCCTAAATCTTCTAATTAGTTGAAAATGGTTTAAAATTCGTTTGGAATTAACTAACATTATTTGATTTATTCTTTTCATTTTCTACTTTTCGCCGAATACAACTTGAAATCATTTAATTAAAATTTTAAAAAATGTAAAACTTTTTCTAAAGGTATCCCGCCGCCTCTCTCGTAAGGAAAAAAAAAAATCTAAACCTCTTTTCTTTTTTCATGGGTGGCCATCTTGGTAATATAGCCGGTGGTTACTCCTTGTCTTTCTTTTTTTTTTTTTCTTTTATTTCGAAAATAATCTTTATTTTTTTTTTCTTTTTTCGAATAATCTTTAGATTTGTGTCTTGTGATACAGATCTGAATTATTGTTTCCTATATTTTGAGATTATTGTTACTCATATTTTTTAGGATTTTGTTCTTAGATCTAGTCGTTTGGGAGTTTCTGAGTTTTTTTATCACCATTATGGTGATTTTGTTTAGGTATTTTATTATTTGGACAGTTATGTAGAAAAAAGTATAGATCTCCTTTTTGATGGAAGGAAGAATTTTGAAGATAATCATATCAGACTTGTAGAAAAACCATGAAGTCGAACAATGGTCATGAATCGCCACCAAGTGGAGCGATCGCCTACAACACATGTATTATGCGTATTATGCTGATATCACTTGATTTAGATACTTCAAATCAAGATTTGTCTTTTTTTTTAATTTTTCTATAATGAGAATAGGGTTTCATTATTCGACTTAAAGTTACAAAAATATGGGTAGAAATATATTGAAATATGTATTCTATATATGTATTACAGATTTCTCTTTAATAAAATTTTTTAGTTTTGATTTCTCTCAATAAAAACTTCTTCCGCTAGTAGGAGATAAATCCATAAACCATGCCCCTTATTAAACTGGATAATTCAAGTGGTTACAAAGTAAATCAATTCATATTTGGTCAATCATGTAAATAAATAATTAATTTATTGAAAGAATAAATAATTAATACCTCTCTCTAAGGCAAAAAAAAAAAAAAAAAAAAAATCTAAAACCCTTCTTTTTTTCTTTTTTCATGGGGCGGCACCATCGTGGTTACTCCTGTCTTTCTTTTTTTTTTTTTTTTTTGAATAATCCTCAGATTTTGTGTTAATGATTCCTCAGATTTGTGTCTTATGATACAGATATGAGTTATTGTTCCCCATATTTTGAGATTATTGTTACCCATATTTTAGAATTTTGTTCTTAGATTTAGTTGTTTGAGAGTTTCTGAGTTTTGTTGTCACCATTATAGCGATTTTATTTATGGTATTTTATTATTTGGATAGTTATCGCGTAAAAATAATAAATAGTGATAGTGATCAATGATCCATGATGTGACCAATGTTGGCCGTTATAAATAATTAAATATATAAATAATTAATATATAATTAAAATATATAATTAAAATAATTATAATAAAATAATAGAGAATAAATAGAATTATTATAATAAAATAATAGAGAACTAATAGATTATATAGAATATATAAATAGGAATAGAATATTTATGTTAATATGTAACGTAATAAATAAAAAAGGTAAATAGAAATAAATAAAAAATTTCAATTTTCTTTTCAATTTTAACTATTCTTTTTTTTTATTTTCTAATAAAATTTAAAATTAAAATTTCTAATAGAATTAATAGAATTTGAAAATAGAATTTCAAAATTCTAAACAACTAAACAAAAAATGAAAATTTTCTATTTTGAATTCCCCCTTTTGTAGAAAGAATCCGAAGTAATTACTTTTGAAAAACAACCTAGCCTTGATATTCCTTTTCATTTAAAACCTATTATTAGGTATTTACTTTTGCTACTACTAGCTTCTGGAAAATCAAAATAAATCTATTATTAGGTATTACGTGTTTTCCATAGAAATAATGTGAATGCAAGACTTAACGTTAAAGGAAGACTTCTTTTTTGTTAGAAAACTACACTTTTGTTGCATAGAGAATCTACATCCTTTTGTTGCAACAAATAAGTCCTCCACTAACAATGATACGATTGCTTGACCTATCTTGATCCACTACTAACAACACAAACAAACAAATATAAAAGTTTTTGAAAATCAATACAGACTTATAGGAAGGGTTGGTGTGACACATCACACATCACATTTTGAAGTCTTTTTCTGCAAGACTTAATGTTAAAGGAAAACTTCTTTTTTGTTAGAAAAGTACACTTTGTTACAACAATAAGACCACAAACAAATTTTTCCCTTGGTCCCATTTTGTTTCCTTGTTTTCTTTTTTTAGATATTTCAAAATGTTTACAAGTTTTTTAAATTTATACATGTAAATAATTATTTTTTTCATGATAACCTTTATGATTCTTCACTAAATGAAAGATATTTATTAATATCTAAATGAGTTAAGGATTAAAAAGAAAAAAATAACTTTTGTTGACTAAATTCTTAATATACGTGTTTTGTCAAAACGTGTTTTGTCAATATGTAAATAAAATGGAACGGGGAGTATTAATTTACTGTTTTGAAACGCCATTTAGGAAGTGCCCACAACAATTGACAGTCCAATGATGCAACGACTTGGATTACTGATCGCATTGATGTATATTTATAAATTGTTTATAAATTTATAATTTTAAAAATCATCATTTTAATTTTGATTTATTCAAAATGAAAGTACAAAGGATACTTTGTTTGATTATATTTTTTAATTACGTATTTTGATTTAGATCTTAGCACATCATCTAGCGCGGACGCGCGAGTTATTCTAATGTATTTAAAAGTTGCGTCCTTGATATAATCAGGATTTGACATTTTATAATAAAAGAATTTGACATTTTATAATAAAAGTTTATGTATGATACTTCATATTTGTTGACTTCATACATAATAATTTAACTTATAAACAACATTATAAATACAAGATTGACATTAGCATATACATGTAATTATGTAATAAACCATAATATTGTATGTGTAGTTTGATAATGCTACTTCTAGTAGAGTTTTATCAAAATATTTGTTATCACACAAATACTTGAAATTCAATTCTTTTTTAGTTTTTAATTAACCAAAAGAAATGAAGTTTAATCTCTTTTATTATTTAAATCGATTTTTTTATTGGTATCTCACTTAAAAAAGAAGAGTGTTGAACCATTCATTCATACACTTATTGGTTATTATTTAAATCAACTTTATTTTTAAGTCTCCTCTACAAATAAACAATACACCATAACTTATAGTAAATGGTTGATGTGACACATTTTGGAAGAACTTTTCTGCAAACGATTATCTTTATAACGAATGTTAAATTATGTAATTTTATGGTTCTAATATAAAAGTTTTTGCAATATAAGGGTTGCCTTAGCTTGAATTTTGAGAGGAAATATTTTTTTCTAAAAAAAAAAAATCAAGAACGAGAGAATAGAATTTTGAATTGGAGGCCTCTCATTGATTTTTCAAATTTTAATTTTTTTTTTAATTTATAAAGTATCTAAAAAAATTAGAATGGTTAAATTTTAGGAGTCAAAAATATTCAAAAAAAAGAGTTTTATAGAATGGTTAGTTTAACTTTTTGTAATTTTTTTAAATAAAATATAAAAATGTAATTGGATGGATGGAGGAAACTTCGCTGAAGGATTCTCCAACATGCATTTACGCTGAAGGATTCTCCAACATGCATTTACTTTGCAACACCTTTTTCACGTCATGGACCATTTTGCTACTCCTCTCTATATATAACAAGCTAGAACGAGTTGAAGATAGGTATTAAAAATGGATATAATGAAGAGGAATTGTTGGATATTAGTGATTTTATTATTCTTAAAAGAGAGTTCTGATGGCTGTTTAGAGGAAGAAAGAGTTGCACTCTTGCAAATAAAGTCTTCCTTCAATTCTTCTTTTTTTCGTTATTCTTGGAGGATAGATAGTGTTGCCTGTTGTAATTGGGAAGGCATTGAGTGCGATGAAATTACTAGTCGAGTTACAAAACTCGACCTTTCATTGTAGAGGGATTGGCCTCCACAGAATGATTTTTACTTAAATGCCTCTTTGTTTCTTCCATTCCAATGCTCTTTGTTTCTTCCCATTCCAACAACTTTGAAGTATCTTTTCCAACAATTGAAGTATCTTTATTTATCTGCAAATGGGATAACTGGCTGCGTTAAGAATGAAGGTCATTTTATCTCCGTATATTTATCATTAATTATGATTCAAAATAATTAAATTTATGTACATTTTTAAAATGCTCTTTCATATATGCAGGTTTTGGAAGGTTATCAATACTTTCCAATTTGGAACTTCTTGATTTGCAATATAATCGATTTAACAATAGCATCTTATCATCGCTGGTTGGTCTTTCATCTTTGAAATACTTACATCTATCTCACAATAGATTGGAAGGAATAATTAATATGCCAGGTGATAACTTCACCCTTTTTTTTTTTTTTTTTTTTTTTTTTTTTTTGTTTCTTCAATTTTGCCTCAAACTCATTAACAAGAGGCAAGCAGGAATCGAAGGGACTTTAATTATTAATTTGAAGGGATAACTTTTTTCTTTTTGTTCTCAAAACTATTAAAATATATATTTGGAATGTCATTTGTAAAACTGACGTGTGTTATGAGATGTGCGGAATTACAGTAATTTGATAGAATTGGATATTGAGACGGACAATATTGAAAATCAAAGGCATTTCAGTTCTTACCACTGGTAAATTATTTATTTATTGTTCTTATTACATAATATCTAACAAGTTTTTGATCTCTTAATTAACAACTTTTATTATCCTCAAAAGTGTTTTGTATTTAATTAGGTTTTAGTTTCTTAATTAACTTCAAGTCTCTATACTCATAAGTGAAATTTAATTTGGTGTTTCATTTTGAATTCAATAGGGTGCCTCCTATAATTTCACTAATTTGGAAGAGCTGCACCTGGATTATTCTATTATTGTGGATGAAAACTTCCTTCAAAGCCTTGGAGCAATGATGCCTTCTCTTAAGCTTTTGTCTTTAAGGAGGTTGAAAGGATCCGTACCTACTGGAGGTAATTAAATTATCAAAAACATTTCAAATTATCAAAAAATTCCAATATATTTTCACACACTCCTTTTTGAATTTTTATAGGTTTACTTAATTTCAAAAATTTGGAGTATTTGGACATGAGTACTTCTACTATCAACAATAGCTTTGGTCTACAAGGCATTGGAATGATAAGGCATCTTAAAATTTTGTCATTAGCTGGTTGTGGACTGACTGGACCCATACCTACTGGTATGTTCAGCAATCTCTGGCTCTCCCTTGTACTATCTCTTTCAAATAAATTAGAATTGTAACTAACCAAAGGTTTTTTTTTTTTTTTTCTTTTTCGTTGCGATTCGTTGCGAAATTTCAAATATTCAGGTCTTTGCAAATTGAAGTTTCTGCAAGAGCTAGATATAAGTGGCAATTATCTCAATGGTAGTTTGCCATGGTGTCTAGCAAATTTGACATCCCTCAAAATATTCTCTCTCTCTAGTAATAACTTTATTGGAGACATTGCTTCATCTCCTCTTAGGAGATTAACATCCCTTGAATATCTAGATCTCTCTGATAATCTCTTCCAAATCCCAATCTCACTCTCTCTATTTTTTAACCATTCAAATCTCAATTTTTTGGATTGTCAAAATAACACCATATATGCCATAACAGAGGCTCATAATTTCACTCCAAAGTTTCAGTTAGAGACTCTCCACTTGTCTGGCCATGGATATGGTAGTGTAGAAATTCCCAATTTCCTCTATCATCAGTATAATCTACAATATGTTGATCTATCAAACAATAACATAAGAGGAGAGTTTCCATTCTGGTTATTAGGCAACAACACAAAACTAAGGGTAATTCATTTGGCCAACAATTCTCTTTTAGGGCCATTCCAGTTACCTATTCATTCTCCTCCGAATTTGTCATTCTTGGATATTTCTGAAAATAGTCTGTATGGATCCATCCCAAAAAAAATTGGGACACATTTGTCAAGATTAGAGATATTAAACCTGAAGGGAAATGGTTTGAATGGGAATATTCCCCCTTCATTTGGAAATATGAGCTTTTTGGAAAGTTTGTTGGAAAGTTTTTTGGACTTATCTGACAATTAGAATTTGTCAGGAAGTATACTGAGCCAATATGACGTTAGTTGTATCCTAAAATTATTTTTCAACTTTCAAACTTTTCAAAGAAAACCACCATCTTTGCCAAGGAACAGATATTTTCCAAAAAATTGTTAAATTTGGAATATCTTAATTTGGATTACCAATTAAGATGGCAATCTGTTCAATGGAAATATCACCAAATTATTTGTTCTTAAATGCAACTTTCATTGAATATATTGGATGTCAGTGATAACCATCTCTCTTCGGAAGCATCCCAAATGATGGGAAATATCGTCTTCTCTTGAATTTTAGATCTTTACACTAAACAATATTCATCTGGTAGTCTTAAACCAATTCCATTTTTTGACCCTTCTAGAAATAAAAAGAAATTCACTTGTTCAAAAATAAACTGCAAAGGATCTTGAGTGATCTGTATTTTAATGGTGACTCTTCATTAGTTATTGTTAGATCTTAGCCACAATAACTTAATAGGAAAAAATTCCAAAAATAGGTGGATTGACCAAAACAATTCTAAACTTGAAGGTAACATTAATTCTAAATTGAGGTACATTCAGTTAAGTAGTAATCATTTGGAGGGTGGAATTCCAACTCAATTATGCAACTTGTATAACTTAAGCTTGATTGATCTCTCTCATAATAATCTTTCTGGTCATATTCTCCCTTGTTTGAGACTTAGTAGTGCTTGGTCTAAAGAAGATGAATTTCCAATTGAAAATAATACCTTTTCCCCCAAGGTTCGTGCTCCCCCTATGGTTCCTCCTCCTTACTCACCACAACCATTGGAGTTTACAAACAAGAATGAATCCTATTCTTATCAACCAAGCACACTCAAATACTTATCGGGGATTGATCTTTCTTGTAATAATTTTTCTGGAGAGATTCCATTTGAAATTGGAGATCTTAATACAATTCAAATGTTAAATCTATCACACAATAGTTTGACTGGATCAATTCCACAAACATTTTCAAATTTGAGGCAAATCGAGAGCTTAGATCTTTCTTACAACAATTTGGAGGGAAAAATTCCTTCTCAAATTACTCAATTATATTCTTTAGAAGTTTTCAGTGTAGCACACAATAACTTATCTGGTAAGACACCTACAAGAGTTGCACAATTTGTTGACACAAATTTGGACATTATTGATGAAGGCAGGTATGAGGGAAAACTCCTTTTCCTCTGTGGATTTGCCCCACTTGCCCAAAAGCTTGTTATGCAACAATACCTTCATCCACCAAGACTGCCCATAAATCTCAAATTTGATGAACAATTAGTGGGTTCATCGACATGATACTTTTCTATGTGAGCTTCTGTAGGTATCTTACATCATAGTTTTGTTTGGATAATTTGCAAGTTTATATACAATTACATCCATATTTGGCGACAAAGCCTGGTTTTACTATGTAGAGTTGATATCCACCAATTAGTTATTACTTTCTTCGTGACAACTATTTCAATACTTAATTTGAAGTTTGGAGTTCATAAGAATGTTATATTATGATTTTTCTACATTGTCTATGGTTATCAAATTCATAGGGCTGCTAACTCTTTATGAATTAATGAAATGTTAAGGTTATGAATAATGAAATGTAAGGTAAATTATAAATTTTCTTCTAAACATATATTTTAAGTATGACTAGTATTTAAAAATGTGTGGTGCATGTGGTTACTTCTTATTATAAGTACTCATTATTAATTTAATAAATTTTTATTATTTATCAAGAATGATCTTCATTATTATTTTAATTTTTTTCAAAAATAAATTTAATATAATAATTAATAAAATATAATAAAGTTATAAAAGTAAAGGTTAAATTACAATTCATAACAAACAACATTGATAACATATAATAATATAAATATTAAATAAAATTAGTATGAATATTTTTATCAATTTCAATATTTCTCTTCTATTTCCACTTTTATATACTCCATTTATTCTACTTTAATAGCAATATTTCATCTTTTTAAAACAATTAAGAAAATGATTAGAACGCATTGATTTTCTAAAAATACATAGTAGAATACCTAAATTGGCCTTCTTAAATTAAAAACTCTCCATCTTTTGGATACAAAGCATAGTAGAAAACTCTCCATTTAATTTTACTACAAATTTAATTTTACTACAAAGTCAATGCTAATTTTATCTCGTATTAAAGGGAAAATAATAAACTTATCTTTATATTATGTCAAAATTAATTACTTTGTCCTCCTATTTTTTAAAATACACTATTTTTAAAATACACTATTTAGTGATTCCATCAATATTGTTATTTCGTGCTGTTTAATTTAAAAGAATTATCTTTTTGTCAATCGTTCATTTCTCTTCCCTTCACTTCCTGTTCATTCTCTCTCTCTCTCTGTTTACTTTTTTTTTTTTTTTTTTTTTTTTTTATTCAATACCTCTTAGACTCACCTTAATTCTCTACTTTTCTACAAGGTGGATTTTAATCCAAACACTTTGATGGGCAGAAAAATTTAAAATCAAAACATCCTCTCTTTAATTTTTGTGCGTCTGTGTTGTTTGTGATCTTCTGATTGAATTGGGAAGAAACCTATAGAGGAATTTCATTTATCACTTGCTATTACATTTTTTGAATAAAACGCACTTGCTATTACATTTTGTATGAATAAACGTCAATTTGATTTAAAATAGGAAAATGAGTAAACAAAGAAATAGAGTAAATGTAAAATGTTTTATTGGAAGAGTTGCAGAAAACCAAATTCTGTTTGGATTTATTTTTAAATATAGTTTTAAAACTTTTTTTTATAATCACAAAATTTTCTTTTAACCGGAGAAGATGTCTAGTTACATGTTCTTTTAGTTTATTTTTTAATTTATTTAAATTTCGTAGAAAATGCAAACTTAAAGGAAAAAGTTAAATTTTTTGATGGAAGGAAGTGTATTAAAAAATATAGGGATAAAGTAGTGTACTAAAAAAAACAGAGGGAAAAGTAATTAATTTTGACAAAATATAGGGACAATATTATAATTTTCCGCATATTAAAGCACCACGATTAGGGATAACTTATCATTAAATTTAATTTTTATAGAAAAAAAGAATATACCAAACGTGAAATTTATTATTTTAATAATTATGTAATCACATATTAAATCAATATTTTATATATAGAAACTAAAAGTACCAAAAACTATTATTATTAGTACGAAGAAGTGTGCGATGTTATTAAAATTCATAACTTTAAAGATATAAATATGTTTTTATAAAATTAAGAGTGCTACAAAATTTTTACATAAAATAAAAATGTGAATTTATACATTTGGCCTTAAATTATTGTTATTTATTTATTGACCACACATGTATTTGAACCATTCTGAAAGTGCAGAAAAATTGGAATCTTTTCAGTGTGAGCATTGTGATGGCTGCAACTTCCATGTACCAATTGGCACGTAAAATAGAGTAAGTTGCATTTTTTTAATATTTTTATTTATATGACTAAGTCATTTTATTTATTTATAAATTATTAAATTCATAATGCAGGTATGATTTCTTCTCCAGTCATCACAAAGCAGCACCAGTTGCAAAGGATTGTTAAAGGAAGCCTTCATGCATTTCATTTGCTATATTTGTCAATTATCACTTTTGTCTTTAATTAGTGAAAAATAACTACTCTTCTACTCTATTGGCTTTCCTTTCTTGTACTCTATGTATATATTTTTTATGATTGAGTTATACCCTCGGCGAACCTGATTTGCTGTAATCGGAATGGACTCATAACTCGAATCAATTTTCTTCAGATAAACCTCATAAGCCAGCAACTTATCTTAAAGTTCATCAAAAGAAATCATCGTATCTCGAACACGCACAGCAGCAGCAATATCTCGAAACTCAGCACCAACTCCATCAAGGACATGAATAACCAAATCGACATCTGAAATAGGACTGTTTCGATTACCATTAGTTGTAGTGTAGGCAGTTGAGGATCTAGTACCTCCTAATGGTGTCCTTGTGGCTGGTGTAGGACCGAATGGGCCTGAGTTAGTTGCTATTGTTAACTGTGGTGGTGGGAGTTGTGGCAATTGCTGCTGCTGTGGCTGCTGCTGTGGCTATGACTGTAGCGGTTGTTATGGCTGTGGCTGTGACTGTGGCTGTTGTTGTGGCTGTGGTAACCACACTTTGAGTCTGAACAATGATGCATCACACCTTCCTCAGTTGCATGCTCAGCGTGCCATCTCTGAGTCTGAACAATGATGCATCACACCTTCCTCAGTTGCATGCTCAGCGTGCCATCTCATATGCTCTGCAGTGGCTTTAGATGCATACAATCATTGTAGACTATCAGTGATGGGGAACTAATACATCTGTTTGTAAGGAACAAGAGATTTCTGATTAGCAGAAGGATGTGTCGTTGGCTTATATCGTGGTTGATTACAGAACTTACAATAAGTCAACTCACTTTCTTCAACCGAATAAATCATACACCCGTTGTTACAACTATGAATCTTTTGAACAGGCATGTTTAGACCTTGAACTAGCTTCTTTGTTTGGTAGAAATTTTGTGTCATAACGTTATCCCTTGGCATCAATAATTGACACATGTCATCAAAACATCTTTCGGAGAGCTGATGTTCTGACTTTATGTGCAACATACACGCAACAGCTGACAGCTTAGAATGACTTTCACAACCATGCCATACTGCTTCATTTGCAGAACTCAACAAACTATAAAATTATTGGGCATTAGGTTTGGTGCTTCTTCCATATCATTGGGATTAAATGAGGGACCAGCAGCATCATGGACCATTCTATGATATTCAGTAGAAGGCTCGTCAAATGCACCAGCACCAGTGTTTCCTGATGAATCATTCATAATTTGATCCCTCACCTTTGGCTGGTCCCCATTTGCCATAACTTCTGCTTCCCCATGCATGGTCCAAACATAATAGCCTGGTACGAAACTGTGTTTAAATATGTGTTTCTCAACTATAAACATGTCTTCGAAGTTCTGGTTTCGACATCTCCTCCTATTATATGGACACCTTATATTATCACCATCCCTACCTTCCACATGATTCCAAGCAAAATTAAGAAATTCTAGGATACCCATCTTAAATTCTTTATTTGGTAGACCATCTGTTAACCTTCTATACATCCATTCACGATTTGAATTCATTTTTCCTGATGATATTGTTATTTAAAGAAAAGATTTCAACTTGCATTAAATTAAATACAGTAACTATATTAAATTTATTTGTCCTGAAAATGAATTAGAAATTAAAACGTAAAATAGAAATGAAAATAAAATACATTAAATAGAAATGAAAACATAATTCTATACTAGGACTAAATTGGACAATATACTTACAGTGAAAACATGAAATGAGGATAACTTTTAGAAATTTTATTATAATATAATTTAAAGTAAAAGAAATACGAATGTCATTTCCTAGAGAATCTAAATCCTATATATACATGATATATTTGCTAAATTGAACTTGTTGACAATGGTATATTTTCTAAGATTACCCAAAGTATTGTCAGAACCCTTTTCTAAATGGATTGGACCCACCAAGATCCCATCTCAAATTCAATTCAAAACCTTGCAACACTAAGATTATAGTCTACAGATCTTTAATTAGACTATAATTAGCCCCCTACAAATTAAATATATGAGTGGGCCATTTCTTCTAAAATATCAGTTGGGTTAACCCTTGTCACGCAACAACAACAGCAGAAGATATCTCAAAAGGTATACAGTTAATTAATTGTTAGAAGGGTTATCTAACTGTCAAGCCAAAGCACCCATATTGGAGAACTGTGACTAGGACTCAAACCAAGCCCCTCGTACACGTGCGATACGAAGCATACAAATTCATAAAGGAAGTACAAGTTCATTTCTAAAAGAGAGAAAACTTTTATATAACAGGTAGTGACACAAAGCATACAAATTCATTTCCATTGGAACATATGTGTTCATATAGAGAATAAAGGAAGTACTAGTAGATGCATTTAGAGCTGGAAATAGAAAACTGAACAGAAGATAGAAACAGAGTCGATGGAGATGGAGGCCAACCATACAATCCAGCATCCTCAATTCCTTCGTAGAAACAAACACAGATTTAATAAACTCTTGCTAATATCTCTTGCTAATATCATTCCATTCTCATAAACTCTTGCTAATATCATTGCATGTTTGCTAATTGCAAACAAACACAGATTTTCAAATTATGAGAAAAATGCAAAGAACATAGATTATGAACAAAATAAAAGAAAAGAGGCTCTGCATGTAAAGAGACCTCTACTAAAGAGAAAAAGGAATATTTTCAAACACAGATTATAAACAAATTCAAACACAGATTTTCAAAACACAGATTTTCAAGGCGTTTACTAAACAAAGAGGAAAAGGGGAAAAAAAGGGAAAGTAAGCTTACCAGTAAAAAAAATGGCGATTTGCTGCTTAAGATGGATGGAGCTCTGTGATTGATAAGCAAGCGGGGTCTCTTACTTGAGGGAATTCACATTCCTATTACTTCTGAACAAAGATGGGAAGTCACCTGACATCAATCGATAAGAAGAACGAGGTAGAAGGAGAGGACGAGAGAGCACTAGGGATTTGTAAAAGGTAAGGGGAGGTTTAGCGCGTAGATAGGCTAAATGACGCAGTTTTAAGTTCCTTTTTTATTTTTTTTTATTTTAATCAAAATAATTAAGGTTTTGATTACTTTTTTCCTTCATACAAATATCAACAAAAATAAAAATTTTCAATTAAGGTTTTGATTACTTTTTTCCTTTATACAAATATCAACAAAAATAAAAATACGGTATTAATGCCAAACCAAGTTCAGATGAGGTTGTTGTTTATCGAAGAGCACTTTTATCAATTTACAATTATCTGTCTTAAAATACGGTATCTGAGTTGTTATTAAATTATATACTCTAATGAAAATCTAGCTTCAATTAGGTTTTTTTAATTGAATACAAATTATAGTATATATGGAAATTAAGGATTAATTACGTGATGATTTATTATGTTGGATTAAGTGCATTGGATTTGTGCCAAAGTCTTGAAAATTATGCTAAATATGGAATAATACGATGATTATGTGAAAATACGATTTTATTGAGTGATTAATTATATGAAATGAATTATTATGATATGAACCATAAAATATTTTTTATAAATATAATATGATTATATGCAATTATATGTGAAATTGAGCAATAATGACATTATGAGTATGGTTATATGATTAAAATGTGAATTATGAAAATGAGACTATGATGAAATATTTGGTATGAAAAATATGATTTTATGAATAAATGAAATTTATGAAAAAGAGTATTTTTCAAACTATAATAGAATATTCTGGTGTATTTACAAGGCCGAAAATTCTAAGTTATAAACACCAACATAGATGAATTATGAAATGAATTAAATAAATTTGATTTTTACCGGCCCTAGTTTACTTGTTCGAGTTCGTAATAGTATAGAGGTATGACATGTCATAGGAAAAACAATACTATCTATGTTATTATGTGACACGGTGTCAATTTTTCAGGAGCTAACGAACTCCCATTATTCAGGAGCTAACAAACTCCTATTATTCAGGGGCTAACGAATCCTTAGCTTATGATATGGTCATTTGATTTCGATTGACGGGTCTTATGATGTTATTATGACTTTCGAACCGTCTGTTATTATGTTTTCTCTATATGTTATTTGGCTCTTCTAGGTGAGCTAGTGGCCTGATCAAAAATGCAATTTTTACAAAATAAATTAAGAATTAATTATACTGCTCTTATGGAATGATGCTTTTATTTATTGATACATGATTTCTGAATTTGATATTATATGCTAAACTATGGATATTTTATTATGTGACTGAATTAAGCCTTATTATGTAGAATATTGTGATGTCAAGATTAAATATGTATTTATGCCATGCATGAATATTAAATTGAACACCATATACTAATTAATTAAAATAATGTTATTAAGTAATTGAATAAATAATTAATCATGTTGCTAGTTATGGAATTATCCGGTCTGTTTTGATAGTATGACTATATAAGGGATTATCCTTAGATTTAGAGACGCATAATTTAAGTGATTGAGTATTAAATACTGATGGTGAATATCATAACTGGTGATTTAATAGTGATATTAGCTATTATTTATTATTATTTTAGCTAGTAAATCATTTATGATATTAAATGATGATTGATAGGTGTTATTTTTATAATATTTTTAATATAATTTTTATTAAGATTTTTAGTATTTTTAATTACTTTAATTAGTATGTATTTAGTTTTATTTATGTTTTTGTTCAAAGCTTTATTTATGTTTTTGTTCAAAGCTTCCTTGAATCATATTTCATATGATATTGAGGAATTTTGTACGATTTTTATAGAAAAACCAGCCAAAATGCAGAAAAGACTGTGCCTAAGCAAAAAGGGCTAGCACGCCCAAGCCGTGCCAGAGAGCACGCTCGTGCCATAAGAGGCTGTCGATCCCTGAACGTGCTCACCCCAGCACTGCCCATGCTGCAACCACTTTGAAGACTCATACTCCAGCATGACCAGGCCATGCCCAATAGCACGCCCGTGCTGAAGACCAGATTTTGCATTGGGCTGAGAACGTTAGTTCTAGCTTGTACCGCTTGCATAGACCCGCATGAGATGCTTTTCTGACGTGCCAATCAAGTTTAAATCCTATTTAGATGCTGGGAGAGTCCTAATTGGGAAGAAATACAAAGCCTAAACAGTAAAGCCTAAACAGTTTCCTATATCTAAAAGATTTCTTACTCAATAAAGATTCACTTTTCTAAACAAACATGAAGATATTCTAGAAAGTCTATATAAATAGAGAGACTAGCCATAGTCAGGAGAGAATCCATTCATTGTATATACCAACTCTGGTTCTATTATTTTCTACATAGTTTTCTCTCTCTAAGACTTCAAGTGCTCAAGATTTGTGTCAAGATTCAAGGAAGCTGTCCACGTTATTTGTTGACTAGTTTTTATCTCTAAACTCTTAAGCTGTCCACGTTATTTGTTGACTAGTTTTTATCTCTAAACTCTTAATCTTGTTTTTACTTCTCATCATTCATATTGATTATAGAATTATTCTCAAGTTTATTTGAGTTTTATTTAATTACTATGTCGACCTAAATTCTCGTACTAGGGATTTGATGTAGCTTAATTTCTTTTCCCATTTATAATATTAGATTTGCTTTTCTTTGTTCAAAGTATAATTTATTATTGAACTTAATGTTTCCAGGCAGAATTTCTCTCATGGATTGATTTATTTCATTAATCACTATCGGGAGAAGGGTTTTTGATATAAAAAAGTAATAAATTATATGAGAATAATAACTTGATGCAGAAGCTATATGATTTCACTCATGGGGGTTTTCATAAGTTAACAACCTTAGGATATGAATTCATAAACAAACCATAAAACTTAATGATTTAATTCATGTTTTGATTGCGCTATTAGAAGATAGGTAATTAAAATGGGTTAAAATAGCTAACAATACATCGGGAGAGCTTGTAGTGATTTTAGGGTTGTTTCCCCTTCTTGAACAATTAAAATTGATTTTCAAACTAATAAAATAAATTGGATAAAGTGAAGTCAAAATCCCTAGTAGTTTTTGATCCTTGATTTCATTTTATCAAATTTGCCTTGCTTGATTTCTTCTTATTCTCTTTTATTTTTTTAAGTTAATTTCTTAAAATAATTCCCCTTATTGTCGTTTAAATAATAGTAGGTTAACACAATTTCGGTATTTGGTATATGGTCCTCGTGATACCGATACATTACTCATTCTTTATTACTTGTTGCGATTTCGTAAACTTACGAAAAAGCCTGTCAATGATTATGAAAGTGTGATTAAATTATGATATAAATGTTGACTATGTGTAATTAGCCTGTGATTAAATTATGGTATGAAGTGCTGAATGTTATGCCCTAGAATTTAATTATGCTATGAACATGTGAATTTATGTGTAATTTCCTATGAAATAGAGAAATTAGTATCGCTAAGTTTTATGTTTAGCATGTTGATTTTATCACATACAGGTGGTACACGGAGGTTGCAGAAGTGTAGTAAGATGGATGCTTTAAAGTAGTGGATAGATATGAAGTAGTTATAGTTATTTGATTTATCGTGGCATTAGTAGCATGTAACTAATTATTAG